TTTTCATTTTACACTTACTTCTAAAAATTTCCTATTCTGTCTATACTATTTCCCCACCCCGGAAACCGTGTAACCACCGTTTTCGTGGGACAAATGCTGGGACTAGTAGTACATGAGTGGGACTACATAAGCATCTTTTGCCGAAACCCTTTCACGGAGTCAGCATAGGCACCCGTCTGAAGGATATGTGGCAGCGGTAGCTTACGTTTGCCCCCTCCCCCCAGAAACTAATAAAACTGGAATGCTGGTAACGAGGGTTTAAAGGGTGGGGTCTCACCGCAGCGGACCGTGTGCAGGAAACATAAAATATAAGTAAATTTCAGCAAAATATATTCTTCCAGACTTACATCTGGCAAAGAAATTGAGAGTTATAGTTAAAAAAGAAAATAAACGAAAAACAACTATCGATAAATAAAAGTGAATCGAATAATAAAAACCCATCCTTGCCAAACATTCCCTTCCAGACAAGAACGTGTGCTTTTTTCCACAGGGAACATTTGCGGGAAGACTGACCTACTTTCGGTTTAACTTTCCCGTACTCTACACACTCTTTTCCCAGAATTTTTGCCTTTTGTGCCGTTTATTCTTTGTTTTTTTTGATACCTTTTTAAGTGCAAATTTTGTTGCATGACAGGAAGCCACCTCTGTGTGCAGCGTTTTGTTTTCTAAACCGATTTAGTTTTTTTTGTTGAGCAGAACCTCTATCTGCTCGGCTCCGTTTGCTCTCTGCAAGTTCCGCCAGTGCGTGCTTAATAGTAGTGAATTCGATTTAACCTGGACGCAGCAAACCGTGGGTGCCTTTGAGAGGGGGGGAGCTTTCTTGCCTGTTTTTTCCTCCCACATTAAAAGATAGACGTCTCAATTCGTCCCACAACCAGCACGCCGCCGGCTTATGAATTTGGTCGAACGACAGCCGGAGAAGCCTTAGTGGATGACAGGCAGCAGCTGCTACGGGTTGTGACCTTTTTATGAGCGACCGGTTTGCCTGACCTTCCTCGCCTGAAACGACTAGTTCCCAGGTTCCACGACCTCTTACCAATCCGATCTAAAAGTGCTTCTTTCTCAAATAGTCTTTGAAGTCCCACTGTATGTCACCACCACTGGACGTACTGGGTTTGCTTCATTGGGCTGACAGACAGAGCCGTCATCCGTAGTCCATCTTTTTTTAACGTCGCAGTTCCGACTTTTAATTCATTTTTCTAGTTTTTTTTGTTTAGCAGTCATCTCCCTGGTCCATGAACTTTTCTTGTGTGTGTGTGTGTGTGTGTGTGTG